TTGTCCTCGATGGAGAGAACGAGGTTTGGTCAACTAACAAGTCAATATCAAGAAACAACACAACAGTTGTTCTTCGTGATGATGGGAACCTTGTTCTTTCAGAAGAATCAGAACATGAGAAAGTTGTGTGGCAAAGCTTTGAGAACCCAACTGATACATTTGTGCCAGGTATGACACTGCCAGCTAGTGCTGGAATTAATATGTTCAGGTCATGGAAATCAGCAACGGATCCTTCACCGGGAAACTACTCATTGGGGGTTGATTCTGCGGGATCAACGCTACAGATTTTGATTTTGGATGGGGAGAAAAGGAGGTGGAGAAGTGGGTATTGGGATGGTAGAGTATTCACTGGTGTGTCCAATATGACTGGAAGCTCTCTTTTTGGTTTTAAACTTAATGCTGAGAGGGAATACTTTACATATACATGGAATGGCCCTGAAAAGGTGAGGTTTCAGATAACTTGGGATGGGTTTGAAAAGAAGTTCATATGGGATGAAGATGATAAACAATGGAATAATACACAACATGAGCCTTATAATCAGTGTGAGCATTACAATTTTTGTGGCAGTTTTGCTGTGTGTGATATCTCTAAGGCAGTTGTTTGTAGTTGCATGCAAGGGTTTCAACAGGGGGAATGGAGTGAGTGGAATGGTGGAAATTCAGGGGGGTGTAAGAGAAGGACTCTACTGAAGGCTCAGAGGAACAGTTCTGGAAATGGAACTGAGGTTAGTGTTGGAGAAGATCGTTTCTTGGTTCAGAGGTGTACGAAGCTGCCAGATTTTGCACGTTTGGAGAGTCCTTTAGACGATGGGGAATGTCAGCGCTTTTGTCTGCAGAATAATTCTTGTACTGCGTATTCATATACTTTTGGAATTGGGTGCATGATTTGGTATGTGGACTTAGTTGATGTTCAACACACTGAAAATAATTTTGGAAACGTACTCAACATCCGTCTTGCTGATTCTGAGTTTGGTAAGATATAGAGTGTTTGTGTTTCTTTTTCATTGATTAATTTTCCTTTTTTTAATTTTGATTTATAAACCCATTATACATCCCATCTTACATGCTTTCCCGAGGAACTACTTCAATTTGTCATACTTTTATGTGCAAACTAATCAAACTTCAGAAATCTTGCCCTTAAAAGATCTGTTAATTTGTTGTCTATGAGTATGATGAGATGGAAAATATCACTTCAAATCTCACACAAGTTCTCACAAGTTTCCCTGATTGTCAGATTGTATTTACAGCAAACGATTTCTATGTTTTCAGATACAGGCAATGGGGAGAAAAAGACTAAATTTTGGATAATAATAATAGCTGTTGTGGTGGGGTTGATCTGCCTTGGAATCGTTGTATTGCTGGTGTGGAGGTTTAAGAGAAAACGTAAAGGTAGTACATTTATTTTCCTAAGAATTTTTTCATCGTTTCGATGAATTAATGACAAGGTATTACTACCAGTTTCTTGAGATTCACTTCTATATTCTCTTCCTTTCTATTTACCAACAGTTTCCTCAGCTTCTGCTGACAACAAAAGCGATTTTCCAGTCTTTGAACTAACGAGGAGTACAGACTTATCAGCAGAATTTTCAGGATCTACCGACTTAGGTTTGGATGGGAATCAACTAAGTGGGGCAGAACTTCCATTGTTTAATTTTAGCTTCATTGCAGCAGCAACAAATAATTTTTCAGAAGAAAATAAGCTCGGACAAGGGGGATTTGGTCCTGTATACAAGGTAAAACTTTAGCCATTAAGCTTACCTTAACAATAGCGTTATTATACTACAAATTTTCCTTGTACAAAAATGAGAGAAAAAAGTATGGGATGTGATGGAAAGAGAGAAAAAGGTATTCCATAAACACCCAAGTCTTCTCATAATAAAAGTTTAATAGCTTCATTTATTCCATTTACCAGGGGAAGATTCCAGGGGGTGAGGAAATAGCTGTTAAGAGGCTTTCAAGAAAGTCCAGTCAAGGTTTAGAAGAGTTCAAGAATGAAATGATGCTAATAGCCAGACTACAACATAGAAATCTGGTTAGACTATTGGGATGTTCCATTCAGGGAGAAGAAAAAATACTGGTATACGAGTACTTGCCAAACAAAAGCTTGGACTGCTTTTTATTTGGTATGTTTCTTTCCATTAACTATGCATGTTCTTTTCTGTATCTTAATTTGGATAAGTTTGAAACAGAAGTAACCAGTGCGTGCATGTTCATAACAATTGACTTGTTCTTATAACATCATGGCAGATCCGGTGAAGCAAACACAACTAGACTGGACAAGGCGCTTTGAAATAATTGAGGGCATTGCAAGAGGGCTACTTTACCTGCACCGGGATTCAAGACTACGAATAATTCATCGCGATCTAAAAGCAAGCAACATTTTGTTAGATGAAAACATGAATCCAAAAATTTCAGACTTTGGCTTAGCTAGAATATTTGGAGGAAACCAAAACGAAGCCAACACAAACAGAGTGGTTGGCACATAGTAAGTACAATTTGATTTCACTTGTTTGATAAATCATTATCTTAAATCTCTCGTGAACTAGACTTCTAATTTCTATATCTGTGATGCAGTGGCTATATGTCCCCAGAATATGCAATGGAAGGTCTATTTTCAGTAAAATCTGATGTCTATAGTTTTGGTGTATTACTACTAGAGATTATGAGTGGCCGCAGGAACACTAGCTTTCGCAACACAGACGATTCAAGTCTAATAGGATATGTGAGTAACTCCTGTTTACATTACTTTGTGACTATTGCACAAAAGTTGAAATACTATCTAGTAGCAGTTTTGGCGCTCATTTGTTAGTAAGTTGCATGCTTATGGTATAGCTTGAAAAGTGCCAATCTTTGTGAAAGTTGCTAGGTGTCGAAAAGTTTCAAATTTAAAAAACGTTTGGAAATTAGAATTATTTAAAAGTCCTGGTTTATTGGAGTGGTGAAGGCTGATGAATCATGATGAAAAATGGGTGTAGGCCTGGCACCTTTGGAGTGAGCAGAGAGTAATGGAGCTTCTTGATTCTTCCATCGGTGATTCAACACCAAAGAGTAAAGCGTTGAGATTCATACACATAGGGATGTTATGCGTGCAAGACTCAGCATCTCGTAGACCAAACATGTCCTCTGTGTTGTTAATGCTGGGAAGTGAAGCCACAACTCTACCTTTGCCTAAACAACCTTTGCTTACTACTTCCATGAGGAAACTTGATGATGGAGATCAATCTTATAGTGAAGGCCTTGACAGGTCAAATGATTTGACAGTTACAATGGTGACAGGGAGATAGAAGTGTCTTTATTACAGTTTCCCCCTTTCTATTCAGTTTTGTTTAGATAGACTCTTTTCCTTCTGATTTTTCCTCTCTTCCTTTTGAAACTAGCCCCTTGATTTTTAGTCAGTTGTATATATATTTTGTAAACCAAACTGAGAAAAGGTGCCTTGATTCCTGGTCAATAAAGTCTTCTAGGTTGATGGTTCTCATATGGAGAGATCATAGCAAGTGGTATATTTTTGTTTTTTTGTATAAGGAGTGTAGCATTTCCATTGATTTGTTTATTCAGATATAGATAGATAGTCTTCATGTACTATCATGTATGCAGTTGTTGATTATTATTGTCAGGGAGGAGCATCTTTATTTTCAAATCTCTTGTTTGGTACGTGTCTCTAAATGTTATTATAACACTAGCACAACATTTGAATAGTTTATTTATATAGATTTTAGGTACTTTCTAGATAATCTTATTTGCGTCGGCTAAGACTATTATTAAGGACGAAAAAGTTTTCTTTACAAAATTATATGTTTAAGGCTCAAACTCTTTACCAAACATCAACTATTATGGACAATAAAGCTTTCTTGACAATTTTATGTTTAAAAAAACTCAAACTCAATACCAAATTAAGTTGGAACAATTTAATGCTAGTTGATGCGTGAAACATTAAAATTTGAATCGTTTTTGCTCTTGTGAAATATTTTATTCTTCTACTACTATTTCACACTTATTTTTTAGCAAAAAACCACTAGTAATTCAGGACTCGAACTTCAAACTTCAGGAGACACACATTAATTTTTTCCATAAATTAAAATAAACTTAATCAAGTTAAAATAAAAATTTCAAAAACTATGTAAGAGAAATTTTATTAATTAATTTTTATATAAACTAATTTTAACATATAAAAAAAATAGTCATATATCCTAAATATAAGTCTCTCCTCACATTTGAAAACAATCTCACGATAGAACACTTCTGGAGTATCCATATATGTTCCCAAAGGATATCAGGAAAATTGGAAGAGAAGAGTTTTCTAAAAAATATGTTATTTTTTCTATTCAAACACACGGATTGACAAAGTTGAAATAATTTTGTCTTCTTTTAAATACGTGGAAGAATATTTATAATGTTATTTCTAAACCTACTTGAAGCCCATCAGTTTTGAAAGTTTTCCAAAGAATCTTTCTTTCGTTCCACCTTTTATCTCACCTTCTCCCCTCGAACAGAAAGAGTATTTCGAACTCACTTTTTAACTTTTTTCTCAAATAATTAAATTAATTGAGAAATAAAATAGAATCTTCCACGTAACTTTACAACTTTATACTTTATAATACAGAATGATGACATTCTAGTACTAAGAATTGATTCTTATATGAAAAACTTTTTATACCATGACTTTGAACTCAGCATGCTCCAATGATTTTAAATAACAATCAATTAGTTTTTCTAAAATATGTCCATGCAATTCCTGTTAAGAGTGGCTCTAACTTGAAGATGAAATATATGGATGAGATTTAAGAAGTAAAGTGGATTATTGATGCTAGTGAACATACTAAAATTCTCACACGAATTTCATTACATTATTTTTTTTTTCTTTGTAGTTAATAGAACAAGGATTGTGTTATTTTTCTCAAACTTTCAAATATGCATGTCTAGTTTACAGTTAGAAATGTTGAAAAGACGAGTGTAAAGGTCTGTTCTTACCCTGTTTGTGAAACCAGACAAATAATCTGATGGAGCAAACGAGGAAGGTGATGAGAGGTGTTCTTAAGAACACCAAGAATCCAAAATTGGCATGGCAATTGGTGAAGCGCGTTCTATCTTCCCCTTCCTCTTCCTCTGCCCCTTCCACTTCCATCACGAATCACACTCAGCACCTTGTCACCATCACAACACGCATCCTCGCCGCCGCCAACATGCACCTTGAACTCCACGACCTCCACAAACTCCTCCTAGCCTCTCAGCCGCACCACATTGCGCACCCTTCCATCGTTTCCATGGTCCGAGTCCTCGCCCAATGGGGCCACGTCGATGAGGCCCTTACACACTTCAAATCCTTCAGAGCCCAATTTCCCTCATCGCCTCCCTCCCTCCCTTTCTACAACCTCCTCCTCCGCTCCACCCTCCAACACAACCGCCCCAACCTCGTCACGTGGCTGTACACCGACATGATCGCCGCACGTGTTACCCCTCAGACCTACACCTTCAACCTCCTCATCCAGTCCCTCTGCGACTCTCGGGCCTTCGACCACGCCTTCCAACTGTTCGACAAAATGTCCCAAAAAGGGTGCCAACCTAACGAGTACACTCTCGGGATTCTGGTTCGTGGATTGTGCCGCGCTGGCCACGTTAAACAAGCCATGGAGCTCGTTAACAATAGTTATAGCAAGAGCAATGACAATAACAATTCGTGTCGTGTTGCAAACAGGGTTGTGTACAATACTCTTGTTTCTGCATTTTGTAGAGAGGAGAAGAATGATGAAGCTGAGATACTTGTTGAGAGGATGAGCGAGCAAGGGGTGTTGCCTGATGTTGTTACTTTTAATTCTAGGATTTCGGCGCTTTGTAGAGCTGGGAAGGTTCTTGAGGCATCGAGGATTTTCAGAGATATGCAGATGGATGAGGAATTGGGACTTCCTAGACCAAATGTTGTAACTTTTAATTTGATGCTTAAGGGGTTCTGTAAGCATGGGATGATGGAGGATGCAAGGGGTTTGGTTGACACCATGAAGAAAGCTGGGCATTTTGTCTCTTTGGAAAGTTATAACGTATGGTTGTTGGGTTTAGTCAGAAATGGGGAGCTATTGGAGGCTCGGTTAGTTCTTGATGAAATGGCAGCAAAAGGCATTGTACCTAATATTTACACGTATAACATTATGGTGGATGGCTTATGCAGGAACCATATGCTCTCAGATGCAAGAGGGTTGATGGATGTGATGATAAGCAATGGGGTTTACCCGGATACCGTTACCTATACCACACTCCTGCATGGATACTGCAGTAAAGGGAAGGTTTTTGAAGCTAAACATGTTCTTCATGAAATGATAAGGAATGGTTGTCAGCCTAATACTTACACTTGCAACACATTGCTGCATAGCCTGTGGAAAGAGGGGAGAACGCTAGAGGCAGAGGAAATGCTGCAAAAAATGAATGAAAAATGCTATCAACCGGATACCGTGACCTGCAATATTGTGGTCCATGGTCTCTCTAGAAACGGAGAATTGGACAAGGCAATGGAAATTGTAAGTGAGATGTGGACTAATGGACCAACATCCCTTGATAAAGGAAACTCATTTGCCACTCTAATTAATTCAATCAGTAATGTATCAAACTGCTTGCCTGATGGAATCACATACACAACTTTAATCAATGGACTTTGCAAAGTTGGGAGGCTAGAGGAAGCCAAGAAAAAGTTTATTGAGATGTTGGCAAAAAGCTTGCACCCTGATTCTGTTACTTATGATACATTCATATGGAGTTTCTGTAGAGAAGGGAAGATATCATCGGCCTTCCGTGTCTTGAAGGATATGGAGAGAAACGGTTGTAGCAAGACTCTTCAAACTTATAATGCATTGATCCTGGGTTTAGGAAATAAAAAGCAAATATTTGAAATATATGGATTGATGGATGAGATGAGAGAAAAAGGGATAAGTCCAGATATTTGTACGTATAATAATATAATCAGTTGCCTCTGTGAAGTAGGAAAAACAAATGATGCCATTTCTCTTTTACATGAAATGTTGGATAAGGGCATATCTCCTAATATATCTTCCTTCAAAATATTAATTAAAGCCTTCTGCAAGTCTAGTGATTTTAAAATAGCTTGTGAACTATTTGAGGTAGCTTTGAATATATGTGGCCACAAAGAAGCCTTGTACAGTTTGTTGTTCAATGAATTACTTGCTGGAGGACAACTGTCAGAAGCAAAGGAGCTATTTGAAGCTTCGTTAGATAGATATCTCACATTGAAGAATTTCATGTACAAAGATTTGATCGAAAGACTTTGCCAGGATGAAAGGTTAGCGGATGCTAGTAGCCTTCTTCATAAATTGATTGATAAGGGATATGGCTTCGATCATGCATCATTCATGCCAGTGATTGATGGCTTAAGTAAAAGAGGAAACAAACAGCAAGCGGATGAACTAGGAAAGAGGATGATGGAATTGGCATTAGAAGATAGACCTGTCGATAGGACTTATCAAAACAGAAACAGAGTCATTCCTGGAAAACTACAGAACGATGGAAGAAGTGACTGGAAGGACATAGTTAACAGGTATGGCCATATGGGTGTGAAGATAATCAATTATTCCTTTTTATTGGATTCTGTTTATTTTTGGAAAAAAAAGGTTCTTAATTTGATAGCAAGAGTGAAAATTGTTTTTGGGTGTATGGAACAACATAATGTGGTAGATTCTGTGGGCTCATATCTAAACCTTCTCAGTGAAATGGATTCCAACTCAATCTGGTTCACAAACTCCAAACCAAAAAACGTTTTATATTCACCTTTTTTTCATCTCTGAAATAGTTGTTTTATCATGTGACATTTAAAATTATCATCTATTAGTCATCTCAACTAAATGCAAACCTGGATCCTACTATTTTATCATTGAAACTTTGATTGTCACAGGTCCTATAATGTCTATGGTTTTTCGTGAGTGCTATCCACAATTTACTTGTGCTGCATATTCTTCCATCTTCACTAATGCTCTGGTCTACTATTTGACAGGGATGGTGGGAGTGGAATTGCACTGAAAACTCTTAAGCGTGTGCAGAAAGGCTGGGGTCATGGAAGTATATCTAGCTTGCAGTCTCAGCCAAATGATTTTCTTGATTACTATGGTGGTAGTGGTTAATTGTTTTTTTTTGTTGGGGAATGTTTACCCTTTTCCTATGTTTCAACCTCATAGGTGGGACAGGAGGAGTAGCAGATAATAGAATGTAAAAAGGTTTAAGGTTGGAGGTGTTGAAGGCCTCTTTGTAAGTAAAGGTCTCCTTTTGATTTTGCCTCCGTTCCTTTTGAAATGAGCCCCTCTTAATAGTGGGTCCATTGTATATATAATTTATATATAAAAAAAATCCTTTGAGAGTCGGAGAAAGTTCCTTGATTCCTTGTCAAGAAAAGAAGTTCTCTCTAGGTTGACGGCTCTCATATGGAGAGACCATAGCAAGACCACCATGTATTCAAGTTGTATATGTTTTCTTGTGTCGACCCTATAGCATTTGTATTTTATTTTCTTTTTTATACAGTTTTCTATTGTAGACAGATTATTATACTCTCGTAGGAGCATCTTCATTTTTAGATCTCTCTCTGATTTTCGTTTGCTACATGCCATCTCCAAATGGCATTTGGAGAAATTAAATGAATCTCTTTTGAGAAGTGTCTCGTACCATGTTATAAAACAAGTGAAATATTATGTACTACGTCACATTAGTTTTGAATCGTTTTATCTACTACTATAATATCAACAACAAAAAATCAACTTTTTATCTCGATAAGCTTCTAAATCTTTCTTCAATCCACGCCTGGGTCTAATGCGAGCTTAAATCTTGCTTAGCTTCAAATTCACACTTCAAGCCAAAAATCAGAAATATGCTTTTAATAATTTGGTTAATTCGCTTGAAGCCTGCATTGGTTGCTAAGCGCATATCTGTCTTTGAGACATTTCCTTTTGACTTCAAAATTTGGTCCCAATTAATTAACTTTGACTAACTCAATTTTTATATTTTTATTTCTACAAAATGTAAAGAAAAGAAATAAGATACACAAAACTAGAAAACTAAGCTAAAATTTAAATTATTCTCATATTTAAACTAATTGAGTTAAACATTACTCTATATATATATATATGGTTGAAAGAATGATTATGGTAATTGAATTCACAATTAAAATAAAAAAATAAAAATAAAATAAAATCAATAATAAATAATAATATAATTTATTATTGAAAGAAACCACAATACTCTCTTTAAATTTAAAGAGAAGACAATAATAATATTTTCTCTATGAAATAAGATAACTATGCAATGCATTAGTAGAAAAGGGGAACAAAGAGATTTTTAGTGATTTACAAGGTAAATACTATGTTTCTCTTATAACATAACAAGTAAGTACCAATATACAACTTTTTTTATGTGAGGTGAGACTTTTTTTCTCATATTCTCCCACTTGAAGATTTTGATTAAATTAATCAAATCTTCATAGTATATTATTACTTGTCTTCCATCAAGAATGAACAAATGGGTTAGGCCTCGAGTCTATCTAAAAAATTGTGGACAGATTGGTAGTTTTAACTCGTTAGCCCATTTTGACCTACTCCAGCTAATTCGACGGGCAAGGGTGGTGTAGAACGAGTTGACTCGCCTTCCCATTTTAAAAAATATTTATACATTAAAATTTAAATAAAAAATATTATAATTAAAAATATTATATTCTTTTTGTATTATTATTGAAATACGTAAATATATTATAATATTATAATTTAAATTATAAAAATTAGTCAATTAAATTTAAATTATCGATTATAATTAGTTATTTTAACACATAAATATAATAATATTTTCAATTTCTCTAATAAAAATATTTATTAATAAATAAAAACTTTAAAATTATTCATATAATTAAAGATATATTTTAAAAAATATATATATAAAAAAATTTATATAAAAAAATTATTGGTCGAGTCGAGTCCGTTAGTCCGCAGTGACTATAGCAAGTTAGCACACCCCGCTTTTGACGGGCTAGAGATAGGGTGGCCAAAAACGGAGCAAGCTGATCGTTTTACCATCCTTACCTTCCATGTTATTTTTCGCAATAGACCTTAAGTAGGATCGTCTTTATGCAGTGACAAATCTTGACCATTGATTTTGGGAGACAAACTAATATATTATTAATAAATAATAAATAAATATAAAAATGGTAAAAGAAGACGAAAGAGTGAGATGATAAAATTGTAAATATATAAGTAAATATATTAAAATGACCATTAAGTTTGGGGACCAAAATCATAAATTATGAGAGTTAGAAAACTAATAGAGGGTGAGAGGATAAAATTGTAAATATATAAGTAAATATATTAAATGATCATTAAATTTGGAGGAAGGGGTGGGGGGTGGGAAAATCATAAATTATACGAGAGTTATAAAACTTTGTGGGGGTCATGGTCCCTCTCGGTTCCAAAAGATCCGCCGATGCCTTTATATAAATTTGTCACGGCCAACCGACTGTCATAACATCTGCTAGGTTCTTCTTACTTTATCCTAGAATACAAGACAAGATTCCTTGCACTATGCAACTGTTACAATAGGCAACAATCTTTTGCTACTTGTGCTTCCTTCATTAACCTTCTTAATTCAGATAACTTCCTCATATGCTGGGTGACTGTCATGTACTCAACTTCTATATTAGACAGAGTTGCAACATCTTGTAACTTGGATAACCAATTTATTACCTCTCCAATAAGGATAAACTCGTCAATCATCTACAAAACCTAAACAAACATAACATCTGACAACTAGTTCTGATCTTCCGATACATAATGCGACATCAAGGTTCCTTTGGTAAGAATCCTCTTAATAATACTCATGTTCTCCACCATAATTTGTTATTAATATACTAATCGCTCTCACTGCTTGTGCAATGTTTGACTTGTACCGATCATGGTATCCATAAGACTTCCCACCACGATTCATACAACACTCTAGACATTTTCATCCTCTCTGCTTCATTGTTAGGACTCATATTTGAGGATAAATTAATAAAAAATGGGGTAGAAAGTGGTTTATACCCTTGCATGTTGAAGCACTGCAAGACCTTTAATAATTAATTCTTTTGATAAAGCCAAACTTTCCTATCTTTTATGTCCCAGTAAATTTGCATATGAAAATCTTGTTTACTGGTCCCTAATCCTCCATATCAAACTTTGTAGTCAACTGTGCCTTTAAAACCTGGATCCGAACTTTGTTGAAGTCTACCACTAACATGTCATCCACATATAACGACAAAATAATAAAATCATTCTCAAAAAATTTATTGTAATAAGTACAATAGTCTGAACTTAGTTTGTTGTAATCAAGGCTAATTATGAAGAATCAATATCTTGTACTAACACCTGGACACCTAATTTAAACCGTACAAAGATTTGGTTAACTTTCAAACCAAGTTTTTTTTTTAAGTCTTCTGGTTGGAGCACACCAATCTTCTCTCCAAGTTTACCTTGAAGAAAAATAATATTTGTATATCTGCTAACAATAACCTTGTGTGACGACACTCGAGGTTTTAAGAATTGATTTGATTAGAAATAGAAAACAGAAAAACATAAAAGATACCGTAGGCGCCACAAATAAGAATATTTGATAAGCCAAGAAGGATCGCCACAAGAATCGAATAATTCTTGATAAGATCAAGTGATGCAAGGAAGAACCCTAGCAGAGCAACAACTCACAAAGTAATCTGAATATTACGTACGTTCATTCTGAATTCCTAAATGTTTAATACAACTTAAGTTTATGAGTTTGTCTCATTGCAGGAAATAAAGATAAATTAAAATCCTAATATCCCAAGCAAAGTTAAGTTACCCAAATGATTTAGTGAAGACATTATAAGCTTTGGGTCTTGGGTTCAAATCCCCACTGTAGCAAATAAAATAGTAATAATAATAAAAACTTAATCTTTTAGTTGGGCCTCCTAGCTCTCCAAACATTCTATGCATGTGATAGGTCTAGTCTCCTCCATGTTTGGATCTTTTAATAGTTGGGCCTTTAGCAAATTGCTCACTTTGTATTGCAATGCCTCTTGTGCTTTTCTGAGCCTGCCTCTTGTCATAGGTCCACCTAAGTCTTGGATTGGATCTTGGTCTTGATCCTTCTCGTTATGGGCTTGGGCCTTTATGTCCACATCATTCCCTCCTTCTTGGGTAGCATTTGTCCTCAAATCTATGAATTCATCTCCTGCATCAAAAGGAGTCAAGTCAGCAACATTAAAAGAAGAACTTATATTATACTCTTCTGGTAGATCAATCTTATAAGCATTATCATTGATCTTCTCTAAGACTTGGAATGGCCCATCTCCTCTAGGTTGAAGTTTAGACTTTCTTTGTTTAGGAAACCTTTCCTTTCTCATGTGTACCTAAACCCAATCACCAGGTTGGAACACCACCTTTTTCCTACCCTTGTTAGCTTGCCTCGCGTAGCTCTCATTCTTCTTTTCAATTTGAGTTTTTACTTGCTCATGCAGCTTCTTCACATATTCTGCTTTAGCCTGTGCTTCCTTATGCTTAAACATAGAAATGTTAGGCAAATGCAACAAATCAAGAGGAGTCAAAGGATTAAATCCATACACAATCTCAAATGGTGAACAATTAGTGGTGCTATGGATAACCCTATTATAAGCAAACTCAACATGCGGTAAACATGCTTCCCAAGTCTTAAGATTTTTCTTTAAAATAGTCCTAAGCAATGTGCCCAAAGTCCTGTTGACTACCTCCGTTTGACCATCAGTTTGTGGGTGACAAGTAGTAGAAAACAATAATTTAGTACCAATCTTACCCCACAAGGTCCTTCAAAAGTGACTAAGGAATTTTGAATCCCTATCACTCACAATGCTCTTCGGCAACCCATGTAGCCTTACTACTTCCTTGAAAAACAAATCAGCCACATGACAAGCATCATCTACCTTCTTGCAAGGTATGAAATGTGCCATCTTAGAAAACCTATCAACAACAACAAACACAAAATCCTTTCCATTCTTTGTTTTAGGCAGCCCTAAAATAAAGTCCATAGAAATGTCAGTCAAAGGATATTCAGGAACAGGTAAAGGAGTATACAACCCATGAGGCTTAACCTTAGATTTAGCCTT